GGCTTCACCTTCAATGACATGTTCATCCGCATCTCCACCCGCCTGCCCTCCACATATATCTATGGCTTTGGGGAGACTGAGCACACAACCTTCAAGATAGACTTGAACTGGCACACCTGGGGCATGTTTTCCAGGGACGAGCCCCCAGGGGTAAGGACAGGGCATTGGTGTCCTGTGTTCTGTCTCCTCCAACCATGCTAGGTGCTTTGTGATGTTTTTTCCAGACTCCACATGCTTGTCACCTTTTATTGCTAGGAGGATGGACATCTTTTTGAGTTCCCCTTTCCTCTGCTATTCTTACCAGAAGAAGATTGACTCAACACAGCAATCAAGTTTCTGTTGAGTTTCTTTCCCATGCACACAGTCTCCTAACCTCCTTTTCCCTATGCCTCTCAGTACAAGAAGAATTCCTATGGTGTCCACCCTTACTACATGGGGCTAGAGGAGGATGGCAATGCCCATGGAGTCCTCCTGATGAACAGCAATGCCATGGGTAGGATGAAGTTTTGTCCTCTTATTGTGTGCCAATGATTCTGAAATTGCTTTAGAATATATTTGACTTAGCTGTCACTATAGAAAAAATAGACTTTATGAATTGGTTTTTCCTTTCATTGACCCTTTATGTATATTCTAATTATATATAATCACTCAACTTTTATTAGCAATGCAGCTAGTGAGAGCTTTCATTTAAGTTGTACAATTCTATATGCACCTACTCCAGAATTTCTGCTGTCAGGGTGTTACAATTGAATAGAAATAAGGTGGGGATTACAGGTTAAAATTATCAACAGGAAGGATTTCATCATGATGACATTTTCTTGTGTTTCCAGATGTGACATTCCAGCCCCTGCCTGCCCTAACATACAGGACCACAGGGGGCATTCTGGACTTCTTTGTGTTCTTGGGCCCAACTCCAGAGCTGGTCACTCAGCAATACACAGAGGTAGGAAGGAAAGCCTTTTTGAAATATGTGTGTTGTATATACATGTGTGTACATACACTCATAATGTGTTCCAACCCTGCTATACAAGATTGCCATATAATGTAACTGTTGTGTGGTACCTGAATATGATGGTCTTTTAGGGGAATTTAAAATATGGAATATGGGAGAGTGAATATATTTCTAGAACTATTATAATTATGTTTTCTCCACTTATTGCAGTGTATCAGATTATTTATGGTAACTAGTGGTGGGGCTGATGTGGTGGTGGAGCTAGAGGAGTAGTGATTTTGAGACGTGTTAAGGGATGATGGTATTGATTGTAGTGGTAGTACTATTTATTGGTGAGAGTGATTATGAGGATGGTGCCTCTTAACATGATAATGGTAGAGAGGATGAAAGGACATGAGGTGACGATGAAAGTGATTGTAGTGGAGTTGATGTTGGGAGTTGAGAGAGAAGGTTCATGTTAGTGATGGTGGGGGTAGGTATGGTAGATTTGGTAAGTAGTGGTGTTTGTATGATGCTTATGTCTGTGGTGGCAATGGGAGTTAACATGATAGAATGTATTACATCATTACATTGTCATAGTGGTTACAGTGTGGTGACAGAGACAATGACTGTACTTGTGGTGTTGGGAGTCATGTTGACTGGATTAACAGCATTGTTAGTTATGACATCAAAACATGTATGAAATAGCTACTGCGTGTATTACTTAATCCATGTGAAAGGGTGTCATACATACTAAGTTACTCAGTGAAACCCATATGAGATTGCTCCTGCTCTTAGCTTTGATTGACAGGTAAAGAAACAAGCACAGAAATGTCATATTGCTACCCAAGGTCATACAATGAGTAAGACCTAGAGACTGTATTCTAAATTAGCTCTTTCCCTTTTACTTGTGCGTTTTTAGTATCTAAATTATATATCTAGGAATCTGAATAAAAATAGGTTTTCCAGAAATCGTGTAAAGTGTGCTCTGAGGAGCCGTAGGTTTTCTGTAGTGTGTCCTAGGAGCTCTACACACCTCTCTACTTCCCCTCTGGGTTTGAATTTGGTGTCAAATTTGGTAAAATATTCTGACTTCATATCCAGTACCATCCAGCTTCTCCTCTAACATTCTAACACTTACTGTCTGTTTTCCAGTTGATTGGTCGGCCTGTGATGGTACCTTACTGGTCCCTGGGATTCCAGCTGTGTCGCTATGGATATGAGAATGATTCTGAGATCTCCAGCTTGTATGATGATATGGTGGCTAAGCAGATCCCCTATGTACGTATATCTGTTGGGGATTTGTTTGTCAGATTTAAGTGTGGTTTAAAATGACACACTGTGTTTTCTCATGTCATGTCACACTGAGCCTAGACTATCCACAGTGAAAACAAAGAGGAACTTAGACTGGTTCATGGCTCCTCTCTCCTGTACCAGGCTTTCCTCTGCTTCTTGACTGACTTCAAGATATTTAATTATGCTGTTTAAGTGACATGATAGTTAAACCCCACTCCAATACTCCTACTTGATTAAGGAAAATAACCCTAACTCAGTGAATAACCCTAACCATATGAAGATTCCATCCCATATGAAGATTACTTTTCTGGACCTGGCACACCACAGTGATCCCTGAGCTCTGAGCCTCACACAGGCTCCATCCTGGAATCCTGTATTGAGTTGGTAGTGGATCACATGCAGAATCAGGACATTAACTTCAAAACCAAAAGTCCAATAACCATAAATAATTTTGTGACCCTTTGTGTTTGTTTTGTATGTATTGTTCTGTGTTATATTAGTGTAAATCACTTCCTGTAACTAAGTGGTGCTCAACCTTTTGAATGGAGTCAAATGGCCCATTCATATCTAAGACCATGGGAAAACACAGGTATTTACATTATAATCCATGAGAGTAACAAAATTACAGTTATGAAGTAGCGGCAAAAATAATTTTATGGTTGGGTTGGGGCTCACCACATCATGAGGAACTGTACTAAAGTTTCTCAGCATCAGGAAGGTTGAGAACCACCTTTGTAATACAACATCTCAGTGAGAGCTCTGCATTTGATCATCTCCAACACTGGGTCCTCCACAGTGAGGACAGTTTTTGTTTTGGTTCTTTTATAGCAGACCTATGATTGTATTATATACACTGTGAATATTTGACATTATTTTCAGTGAATAACCATCACTAATCTCACGATACACTTAGGAAAAAATCAAAACATTTTTTCCTGTAGTATTATTATTTATTTTTTACATAGTGTTTTAAGTTATTTTTTATAACATGTTTTACAGATCAGCATTGATACTCATCTTACATTTTTTTGTTGATGTTGAAATAATTTTTTTTGTTTCTGAGCGAAATATTTAAAATCTGAATATACAAAGATCTAAAGCTATGTATGATATGGCATACATTGTGGTTAAAATTACCAGACACAGGCTGTGGTAACTGTTAGAGTCTGAACTTTCCAACCAGCAGCCACACTTTCTTATACCATCCACAGGACGTGCAGTACTCAGACATCGACTACATGGAGAGGCAGCTGGA